AACATTTTACAATTTATGAAGGTTACTGCCATGAGGTAAGTAGAATGATTATCATTATCCCCATTTTGAATGAAGAAACTGATTGGGGTGGTGCGTTCTCCCCTGGGCCTCTAGCCTTACTCCAGAGGGGTCTTAAGCCCCTGAGGCCACTTTTAAGGTCTGTATTCTGATCTGGAGCATCGGTCATGAAAACCAGCCTTGAGCTTTGCACATGTGGGTCTAGAAATGAACCAGTAAAATTGGCATGAAAGACTTGTGCTGTTACCAGTCATTGTCCAATTAAACTATACTTTGTGACCCTCCCCCCCGCCCCCCCCAAAAATCTACCTCCTTACTACTCCTACCATCTCCTACTTTTCCTCTCTGGGGCCAAGCAAAACACATCTAATCCCTCCAATTAACAGTTATATGTAGGCACTTTATTCTTTCTAGCTGCATTTTCAGTTGAAAGCCTTCTTAATCAGAACAGAAAATCAGAAACATCATGACTTAAACCCAGATTTTCTGACACTAAGTTCAGTGCTTTCTCAATTCAATAATTCAAGTCAATTTGATGGTCATTTATTAAGCACACAGTACAAGACACTGTGCTCGACATATAAAGACCAAAAAAAAAAAAAAAAGAATTGTCTCTTCATGGAGCTTATATTGTCTTTCTACTCTACCATGTTATGCCTTTTTGTTTAAAATTTTCCTTATTCATTTGTTCTCCATTTTTTTTTGGAGGGGGTAAAACAATCAGGGTTAAGTGACTTGCCCAGGGTCACACAGCTAGTAAGTATCAAGTATCTGGATTTGAACTCAGGTCTTACCTGACTCCAAGGCTGGAGCTCTATCCACCGTACCACCTAGCTGCCCCTCTATTAGCCTATTTTTAGGCTAATCCTTGATGAGGATCAGAAGCTCCTAATATTTATTTCTGTGATGCAGATGCACTGGGTGTGTATATGATAGGTGTCCCAGATGACACTTGAGATGCTACAACAGTGAGCCTACAAGAGACAAGCCATGACTTATCATTCAACAAGTGAGTGTAGTTTATCATTTTGCTCATTAGGTGGTGCTCTACTCCATCCATCAACCCAGTTTCTCTGTCATGATCCCTTTGACACATGTGCTAAAGCCTTGATGTGAAACTCAAGAGTTTCTATTTGAGTCAAACTCAACTAGAAATGGGGCCACGAAACTGTACGTAAGGATCCCTGTAAGCTTCATCTTGACTTAGTTTTAAAACGTAATGTCATCTATGTTTTATTTTATTTTTATTTTCCTAAATATTTCCCAATTGCATTTTAATCTGTTTCTGCCGTACTTGGGACTGTTGCAGGCTGAATACGACACAGAGCTGTGTATTTGATGACTGTGCTAAAGATTCTCACTGTAGCAAGTGTGTTCTGGCTCTCTCTTCTGGAGCCAGGCACTTAGGGTTCTAGGGTCCACCGAGGGGTTTGAGGGTGGCTTTTTCTCTATTGCCATTCGCTTGAGTCCACACTCACTCTGTTCTCCCTCATTGTTAGAGGGCCAGTGACTAGCACACCCAGTTCCATTTAGCCACTTGCCATCAGGTGGCTTTTACAAAGGAATATTTACTTCAAGAATTAGCAAGAATGAATGTACAAACATTTTCCCCAATACCCCCTTAACCTCTGTAGGAGTAGGCTCAAAACTTAGTTCACAAAACTCCCCTGCCTTTTCAGTCTGCTTTGATACACGGTCTTCACTCGTTAGAATTTAAGCTCCTTGAGGATGGGGACTGTCTTTCAGCTTGTGTTTTCATTTCGAGGACTTAGCACAGTGGTTGACCCAGAGTAAGCTCTTAATAAATATTTGTGGACTTGTTGGCTTGGTCACACCAAGTTCATGTCCGGATGCAGCATGACTGCTGGATGAATCCTTCCGCTGGATTTGAATCCTGAAGTCAGGCCCTGATAATGGCTCTTCATTTCTGGGGCATCAAAGCTGCACTGGCTGAGAAACCCTGCCTCAACTCGGATGCCCAGTTTCTTGTGGCTTGCTCTCCTGACATTTTAAAGCTCCCAAATTCATTCCATTCATCGGATTCCATGAGTGAAGGAATCATCTAGATCTTGAAGAAATGAATAAGGCAAAGAGATCATTGCTGAAATTTATAGGACTTTCTGAATGCCTCCACAGCCAATCAAAGAGCTCTTCAACACTTGCTTAGCCAACTGGAACCAGTTACAGAATATGTACACAGGCTCCAGTCTTCCCTAGTCACTTCCCTTATGCACCATCACAATTCTTCCAGAAGCATCTCCCTAGCGTCTTTCACAGGAAGATATATCACCTTATGTGGTCTAGGCATGTGGCAGACCCCCATTACATGTCCATGACAATAGGCATATCCAATCTAGCCAACTGGTCTGTTCAAAGAGTTAGGCAAAGATAAACTTGTGCTGATCAGGTTCTGAATTTCCACTAGAATATGAAAAATAAAATATCACCTTCAGATATTAATGTAGAATTTATGGTTCTTTCCCTCTACCATGTCTCTGGAAAATTTCTTGCTCTTTGTTGACCAGCAACTACATTTATAAGAAGACTTAAGCAATGAACATTTAGTGGCTGTGGAGTTTATTTAACATATCAAAAATACAAGAGTTTCAATATACTTGTATTTGCAAACTTCTTGAACTTCCTCCTCTACTCTAAGTCACAGAAAAAGGAATTAGGAGGTCAATGCTGGGGCCCAAGGGCTCCTCACTGGGTCCTAAAATGGAACAATAAAAAACAAGAGAAAAGGGGAACGGTTGGGGCTTAGGCAGGACAGGGGTTGTGCTGGAATATTTTAATCACTGGTATCTGAGATTTTTGAAATTTGTTCTGGTTCTCCACTCTGTCCAGACACAGTTCCCCTTATGCTAGTCACCCAAATGACTATTTTGTCATCTGAATGACTGTTGTCTCACTCCAATCTGCCTCTCTTGCTGCCAGTTCGAATGATGGATGAGAACCTCCCAATCTCAGCTACTGAAATTTTCTCACCTCCTTCTCCCAAATAACTTCTTAGGAAGTATGTGGGGCAGCAGCTGCATTGGCTGCTCAATCCAGCAGTTGCAATTCCAAAGTCAGTTGCTGCTATCCTGCCTGGCAGTCAGCCACCTTGGCTTCACCCAGTTGTAGCCAAGTGCTACCATACCCTGCATGGCTCAGGAAGGAAGAATTGGAATCTTAAGAGAAGGCATCCGATCAAGCATGCCCATATACTACTTTATCATTGCTTTGTCCCCTCACACAGCCTCCTGTTTCTTAAAAGTGCACGCTCCTCCCAACCTCTGCGAAGGGACTAGGGGGCAGTTCTATATATCAGGTCATAATGTGGAAAATGACAATTCAGGAATCTTCCACCATCCTTCTCTCAGTTTCTCAGCTGCTGTCATCCTTCAGACTCTGAGGGGCAGATTGGCAATCCAGAAAATATTAGGGAGTCCATTTTGGGCACCCTGCTCAAAAATCAGTTACATTCTAAATAACAGAATATTCATTGTGTATGTCCTATATGTAGGACTCATAGGTTTTGGATCTGGAAGGAACTTTGTTGTTCAGTCACTTTCAGTCGCGTCTTACTCTTTGTGACCCTATTTGGGGTTTTCTTGGCAGAGATACTAGCGTGGTTTGCCATTTCCTTTTCCAGCTCATTTTACAGATGAGGAAACTGAGGCAAACAGAGTTAAGTTGATGGAATCCTAATAAAGCTGCCCCCCGCCTCAATATTCTAACTTTCTTATGGGCCCCACTGAACAGCAGGCACATCCTGATTTAGTCACACAATCTGGCTTTAACTGCACCATAGGCCCCCAGACTCAATATAGCCACTGCCCTAGCCAGCCGCTGCCCTCACATCCAATTCACATATTTGAACAGGTGTGTCCTTGTACTCAACTACAATCACATTATCCATTTAGCCCAAGACAGGACCACAATACCTAACTATCCATCTTGACCAGACAGGACCACGATAGCCAGTCAATCAGAAAGCAGCATGACCAGGATGTTTGATCACTGAACCATAGAAGGGACCCTTCCCCTATTACCTAATCCCTTGACAAACCCCTCTTGCCTTTTTAATAATCATAATTTCTGTTACTTAATTGCATCTTTACCCTATAAAAATCCATTTTATTTTCTCTGAAGTTGCTGGTTCCTCTTGGAACCTAGCCCGTTTCTGAGGGGTGTCCGTCCTCAATAAATGCCTATAGTATATGGGTGGTCTGACTCTGAATTCTTTGAAATGGTGCTGCCACAACACACTATGATACTACAACAAAATGACTTGCTCAGGGTTACACAGCTAGTAAATGTCCGAGGCCGAATTTGAACTCAGGTCCTCCTAATTCTAGGCCTGGTGCTCTATCCATTGTGCCACCTAGTTTAGGAAGGTGCTTTAGAGATCATGTAATCCAGGTATTCTTAACCTGGGTCCACAGATTTCCTAAGGGATCCATGGACAGATTTCAGAAGGTCTGTGAATTTGTTTGGGGAAAAAAATTACATATTTTCTCTAACTTCTAACTGAAATCTAGTGTTTCCTTTAATTATGAGTTTTCTTAAAAGAAAATAAGTTATTCTGAGAAGGGGCCCACAGATTTCTCCAGATCATTAAAGGGGTTCATGACACACACAAAAATTGAGAACCCCTGGTCTAATCCAACCCCTTCATTTTATAGAAGAGAGTACTTGGACTTATCCAGTAACCCAAGACTTCTGATTCCCAAATCCAGTGTTTTCACCACTGTGTTATGTTGTATCTATATGTGTGAAGAGGCAGTATGTGTGTATATATTGTTGTATGTATTGCACAGTGGGTGTGTGGTCTGTTACTAGTTTTCGATAGAGCTGAGAGGCCCTCCTTAATCCTTACTTCCTTCCCTTCCTTAAGCTCCCTTAAATTCTCTGCCCCTGTCCCCATATAAGGTCTTCTCTGGGGAAGTTGTTTAGTACTGTTTGTTCATCTTTTTTTTTTTTTTTTCCTGTTTTAGGAACAGTGGTTTCCCTAAGCCCTCTCAGCTGGTTATTCCTCACTGCCCTGTTCTGCCTCAGGTCTTGGCCTTCCCCCAGCCACATCTAAGAAGGACGTTGCAATCATCTGTTTGGAAGCATTTCTGAGCCAGTCAGATGTCATCCTAGAGATTTTCTCCAGACCAGTGGAAAGCCTATACGTCATTGATGGACAACACTGGTATTATAAGGGGAAAGAAAAAAAAAAGATCTTATTTGTATCTAAACTAAGGAGGATGAGAGTGGGCCTGGAGATGGTATGGAACTGGAAATGGAAATGGATGGTAGAAATGGAAATGTTCCCTCAGAACAACTTCCCTGATGTTCCCTATAAAGTCACTCCCTCCTATCTATCTACTTCTCCCTCCCCCCCCCAAAACTGTATACTGACAAAATTCCCTCTGACTCCCAACAGTCTCCATCCCTTCATTCTTCTCTGCTTCCCCCTCTCAACTGAGGCTCTATGGGTACAGTATTACTAGAACTGCCCAGACTTCCCCTTCTTGCTGTTGATGTTTCAGCTGCCTCTCCCAGGGTTCCTCACAAGCCTGGAACTCTTCTGGGGTTTGAGGTGAGACTAGAGCTAATCAGGGAGTAAGAGAGTTCATCCCTCCCTGGGTCTGAGAGGTGAGTAGCACTGAATTTGGGCCTAGGGTCATCCTGATTAGACCTAGCTGTAGGCAGAGGAGCCCTGGCTAGATTTTCAGCTACAGGATATAAGGTGGAAATTTTACACTGACTCTGGCCTAGGAAGAGGGATGGGAAACAAGACTGAAGATACTTCCAAAGGACAGACTTGCTTTCTTTGGGGAACTTCTATGACTGTTGCTTGAGAGGGTACCAGCATCATGCTCTGACATTCTTTCATTGCCCCCTTGTTTCACTTGACTGCTTCTGGCGTTCTATCCAAAGAAACTCCTTTTCCTCAAGGCTGTTTCCAGGATTGGCCTTCCTCTCCTTTCCTGGATACTCTCTTCTTTTCCTATTTAAGTTCTTCCAATCTTCAAGACAAGTTCAAGACTTATTTCTTCCAAGAAGCCTTTCCTAACCATACCAGCCTACAATGATCTCTCCTTGCTTTCTGAATTCTAATATTTATTTAATTCACATTTATTGAGGACCCACTATGTGCAAGGGACTGTGTTGGATGCCATGGCAAGCATGAGAGTAATACAATAGGTTCTCTGCTTTCATGGAACTTATAGATCTGGGAGATCAGATAAAGCATGTGCACAAATATAATGCAATGTATCATGTGATAAGTGATTGAGAGATATACAAGGTGCTATGAAAAGCAGGATCATCTGTCATATAGCAGTCAGTCATTTGGACTTGTGGGTGCTTACTATGTACCAGGCACCAGGCTAAGTGCTGGGGATACAAAGAAAGGCCAAAAAAAAGTCTCTATTGGGGAGTATACATTCTCATGGGGGAGACAACATGTAAATAAATAGATATGTACATGATCTATGCAGAATAGCTGAAAGATAATCTGAAGAGGGAAGGCTTTAGCAACTGGGGGGAATGGGAAAAGCTCCTGCAGCAGATGGACTTCAGGCTGAGGCTCCAAGCCTGGCAAGCTAAGAGCTGGAGGCGGGAATGGGGGCAGGGGTGGGGCAGAGCATTTCAAGCATGTGGGAGAGTCAGTGGAAAGTCACAGAGACATGTCTGGATCATAGAATGCATTGAGGGGAGGAAGGTAGAAGAGGACTGAAAATATAAGGAAAGAGGGAACACAATCCTACTACCTGCAGCACTGGCTTGTGGTGTAATCGTGAGGAAAACAAACCTCATACTGTAAGTTGTGATTATTACAGTATTAGTCTTTATCTTTGTATGTGTACATTATATCACCTTTCCATAGGTTCCTTGCAGGAGTGGGGAACCTGCGACCTTGAGGCCAAGTGTGGCCCTCTAGGTCCTTGGGTTTGGCCTTTTGACTGAATCCATACTTCACAGAACAAATCCCCTTAGTAAAAGGATTTGTTCTGTAAAACTTGGACTCAGTCAAAAGGCTGCACCCAAGGGCCTAGAAGGCCATATGAAGCCTTGAGGCTGCAGGTTCCCCACCTCTGCTTAGAGCAAAATAGCTGTCTTATAATTTCTTTGTTTCTCCTCTCCCCATCCTTTTTTCTCTCTTTCTCCCCACCCCCAACCCCAGCACCTGCACAGTAGTGTTCAACCAATCTATATTACCACTCATGAAGGGGTCTCAAATTGCATTTATTTCTGTTGTCCTGTTTCTGTCTCTACTTGTATCAGACAACAGGGGAAGGAGGTGGGGGGGGGGGTGTTGTTCAGAGAAAAGGGTCCCAGGTAGAGTTGACTGACTGGTTGAAATGGGTCGGTCAGCCCTAGTTCCAGCCACGCAGAGGGGGTGGTAGCTGTTATGGCTAGTGCTCAGATTGAATACTGGTACAAGGCAACAGCCTGCTACTAGGGTAGGCTAACTCTACCCAGGTGCCTATGAGACAATTTTCTTTTTCTTTTCCTTCTGAAACCTCTCCAGTCACTCTTCCCCACCCTCACCTCCAAAGGAACATGGATTGCCAACACCATCTCGATTTCCCCCTAGGACAAAAGGTCTTAATCTTTGGTGTATCAGGGGCCCCTTTGGCAGTCTGGGGAAGCCTGTGAACTTCTCAGAATAACATTTTAAAATGCACAAAATAAAATACATATGTTACAAAGGAAACCAGTTATATTGAAATACAGTTATCAAAATATTAAAATGAAAACAAAACAAGTTCACAGATCCCAGGTTAAGAACCCCTGCCCTAGAATCATAGTCTGAGTACTACTAAGCCATTTCTTTCACTCCACACATTCTGAACTTTATCACATCCTGGCCAATTTCTTCCCCCATTCCCATTTCATCCTTTCCTCGCTATTCCCCCCACTGCCTCCTGAGTGCTGGCTTTTCTTACTTCATGCCTATAAATTACCAGCTCCCCTGAGTCATGCCTTTCTTCACCCCTGTGTGTATCTTTGTATTGTTGGTGTCAGTTTTTATGTTTGAATCGTCATATTCCATCAACTATGTTAATCACCATGTATTTGTGCCAAGTATTGAGTCTCATCCTGCTCTAAATCTATATGCAGATTCTGCTCCATCTGGATTCCCCCTCAGCACCCAGGACAGAGCTTTGCCCATAGGAGGAGCTGGGCATTAGCATGGATGGGGTAGTTAGTGGTAACTGAAAGGATGCATGGTTGAACACCATCCGGTGGCCCTGTAGTCCCCTGGGAGGGGAGGAAGGCAAGAAAGGGGCCAGATGCTTAGACCTTGCCAACCTTAAGTCCTAGACCCATGCATTCCAAACATGATAGGAGAAGGGGTGGTAGCCCTCAGCTCCCAAAACGAACACATAGTTGCTGCCCAGTGAATAAATAATGAAGTTAAATTTATTAGAAAACACGATAATTCATGCCACATACTCCTGTCATCCCCTTTGTCTCTCCTTTAGGGGCCAGGGGATGTGGTTCAGGAGCACACACAGACATACGCAGACACACAGACATACATACACAGACACACAAAAACACACCTCTCATGCCTGTCACCACTAACACTTGATCCCCTGGGTAGAGCAAATGCTATGTGTAGAGGGACAAATTTCTACCTTCCCTCTCTACCCTTCCTTGGTGCTGACCCCTCACAAATCAATGAATAAATATCAAATAAATACAATTGGGGCCCACCCTGCAATTCCCCACCTCCTATGACCAGCTTTGGAGAGGGAATGGGTGGGTACTGAGGGACTCTCCCCCATCTTAGACTTACTAGCCCCCAGTCACATAGTAGCTGGGCTGCCTCTCTCAGTCAGGCAGCCCAGGGCAGGGCCAGCCTGCAAGATGGGGAAAAGGGGTAGGTCCTGCCTTTATTACCACTTCCCTATTGTGCCCTATAGGAGGCAGCTCCTCAGAGCCCCCTCCTTGAAGTCATTTGTGTGCCCCCACCGTGCCCAGGGCTGCTCCCCTGGGAGGGTGGGGTTATTTTTTGCCCACCCAATGGCGCCGCCGGAGAATCTCCAGGATTTGTGCACGCTGTCGGAGCCAGTCCTTTGGGGTGGGTCGAGAGGCTGGAGGTGTAGGCCGGGGTACAAAGAAGCTATAGCGGAGGCGAGGATTCTGAGGATTACCCACTACCAGGGCCTGCAAGGTCAGGGGCTGGGACAATGGCCCATGGCCTGTTAGGGTTTCTGAGGCTGCAGTGGCACCACTGTATCGAAGGCTGGCGCCTCCAGGCAGAACCACGTCACTTGCAGATGGGAGTAGTGTGTAGTCACCATTGAGGGCATAGGAGCCATCTTGAAGCTTCAGCGCCAGGTAAATGCTGTGGGGGCCAGAATCCCCCTGTTGCCGCACTAGAATGTGGGTAGCACCTGAAGGGATGGTGACCACATCATTGTACCCATACCTGGAGAAGGGTGCAAGAGGACAGAGTTAGGGAAGGAGGAGGACAAGAAAAAGAGGTCTCCATTTTACCGTTGCCCCATCCTGCCTCCGTATTATGAGGTCTATCATTAGGGCCAGGGTGGAGAAGGCATCTTCCTATACCTGAACTTCTTGAAGGAACCTGACTGCTTGCTGCAGCCCGAGCCATCACCGCCACATTGCATGCACTTGTCAAACTTCTTCTTAGAGCCAATAATCCGGTCACAGCCAGCATGGATACAGCGGCCCTGAACACAAACTGAGGTGCTGTCCAACGAGCAGGGGGTCCCATCTACCACCTGAGGAGAAGAAAAGTAATGAGGGGAAGTCACCCTGGTGACAGAGGTAGAGGCGTGTGGGGATGGGAAAAGAACAGGAGCCTCATATGACTTCAGGAAGAAAATGCTGTAAGGTCTTGGCAATCAGGGCAGGAGCCCAACATGCCAACAAAGTGATGATAATAATAGCTAACATTCACATAGTGCCTACTATGTGTTAGGCACCATGCTAAGAGCAAATATTATCTCATTTGATCATCACAATGATCCTGGAAAGTAAATGCTATCATTTTACAGTTGAGAAAACTGAGGCAAAGAGCAGTTAAGCAATTTGCCCAGGGTGGCACAGCTAATAATTGTCTAAGGCTGGATTTGACTTTCGGGTTTCTTCCTGGCTCTAGGTTCAGTGCTCTATCCACTGAGCCACCTAGCTATCCTTGAGATAATAGTGAGTTTTAATGGTGAAAGTAGGGTAAAGCTCAGTGGGTACCCTACTTCACCTGGTACCAACAACACCAAGGTTGCCCTGAGGCCAGACCCCACATTGTGGAGGCTGGTTTGAGGAACTAGGAGGAGAGAAGAAAACAAAGGAAAGATGATATCCTGGGTGGCTGGGGCTACAAAGACTCTAATGGTCAGATATATGTGAGCAGTAATTTTCAACACTTTGTGGTTTATTTCACCAAGCAGCTATAAGTAAATATTACTGGTAAGATGGCACTGTTCTATATAGATGGTTTGTCTATGACATAGATTTTTATTTTTATTTTTTTAATTTTGGAGGCAATGGAGGGGTTAAGTGACTAGCCCAGGGTCACACAGCTAGCTAATAAGTGTCTGAGGCTGAATTTTAACTCATGTCCTCCTGATTCCAGGGCTGGTACTCTATCCATTGCGTCACCCTGCTGCCCCCAAGATTTTTATTTCTTAGCTTTCAGAAAATAGGGTAGGATAGGACCTGTCAGGGTAGGGTGGGAGGTCAGGGCCTTGAGGATCCACATACTTTACCCTCCACCCCTGCCCTTGTCCTTACCCGAGGCTCCAGGACATAGTAGTAGCCAAGGGCCCGGGCTTGACAAGTGAGCTTGCACTGGTCCTGGGGAGCCACACCACTGTATCGTGGGACCCAATCCATGGGCCCTGGGAAGTTCTTGAAGAGATCAGAGCGGAGGTTGTAGGCAGCACACTGCTCCTCACGGAAGGTCAAAGCTGTAGCATCCCAAGACACAGGACAAATAATTAGGACTGAGTCCTACCCCCACCCCCAGCTTCTATCCATCTCCCTAGCTTTGCCTACCATCTGCTGTCCCAGTACTGTTTCCAACCCCACCCCGACTTTCACCACCCATAAACTGCCAAGGACACATTGTGTTAGACTCTGAGACTCAATGGCCTTCTTCGACCATCAGCTTCACCAGCACCCATGCATAGACATTAGGGCTTCCCCCCGCCAAGGGCCTATCTTGTGTACCTTCCCCTTTTGCTCTAAGAAGCACTATAGGGGTACATAGGAGTCTATGTACAGTAGTCCTACTCCCAACCCCCACAGAACGATTCTGTCTCCCAATCTCTAGAGATTATAGGACAGTTCTTTGAGTGGAAGGCACACCTTTCCATTGTCCCCCCCACTCCCTACCTGTGCCTGTGGGGCAGGCCTGGGTATGGCAGGAGCGGAAGCGTGTACGGCGGCCCTCACAGTATTTGCCACCATTCCGGGGAACAGGACTAGTACAGTCGCGAGAGGAGAATTGGACACCACCTCCACAGGTCCGAGAGCAGTCGCCCCAGGGCCCCCAAGAGCCCCATCCTCCTGCCTGTGGGGTCTGTTGAAGCATAAGATGGGAGAAATAAGTATTAACACCTTCTCACTCACATACCCTCACGCTGCCCCATCCTAGCACCAGCCTCATATCCCTCTCTTTGTATTCTCACTCTCTCCATCTCTTTTCCCCATAGTCTTTCTTTCCCTTGCCAATAGCCATCCCCCTAGTCACCGACCCCACTCCCACATCTCCTGAACCTCACATTGAAATCCTGGAGCTGAGCACTCTGGAGGCAGCGGCCACTCATGCAGGCCTGGTTGGGTCCACAGGGGGTGCCATCAGCCCAGGGAGAGTGCTTAGTTTGGCACATGGCATGGCCGTTGAGGCGTCCAGAGCACCAGAGGGCAGCACAGGGTGGGGGAAGCTGGGGACAGTGTCTTGAGTCAGGCCCAAAGGTCAGCTGGCATTGGCGGTCAGCGTCATAGTCCCTGCCAGGGAAGGTCACAGGCAGGCGCAGAGGAGCTGAGGGCTTGTCTAAGAGACAGTGTCCTGGGGAAAGAAGAGAAGGAAAGAGAAAAGTTATCAAGGGCAAGAAGGGGTGGATCCTGATCCTGGGACTAGAAGGTTGAGGATATTCCAGCTTCTTAGGGTCTGCTGAATGGGACAAGCACAAGAAACAGGAGCTCATAAAGATAGTTGTGCTTTCTGCCTTCTTCCCACCATTTAGATAGAAGGCACTTGGGGGAGCAAACCCTGAAAAGAGTGGGAGTCTTCCAAGAAGCAGGGATTAATCCTAGGAGGGGTCAAGAGGAGATATGGGGGCAGGGGACACAAATTTTCACCCATAGAGGTCAAGGTTCACTGTGGGGTTCTGACCATGGCCGTTGTCGAGGAAATCAGTGATGAAGCGGGCGCTGCAGGGGGACCAGGGTTCCTCAGGGTCCACGTGCGCCATAACTGGTGCCATGACATGACGGGAGGAGCTCCCAGGACCGTTCAGACTCACACATGGCTTGGAGTTGTCATGAAGCATGTTAAAGACATGGCCTGTGGGGGCAGAAATACTGCTAGAGACCTGGTCCCGTCCATACCCTTTCCCTTCCATCCCAGGGTGGATCGGATACTTATGCCATGACAATGAAGCATCTGGCAGTTTGCAGATTGGACTCCATCACTTTCTAAGCCCATACACTCACACACACACACACACACACACACACACACACACACACACACACACACGGCCCCTTTATCTGTAATTCTTATGTCTTCAATTCACATCCTTTTGAATATTTATGGAGTAGGGTGTAATGAAAAGTACACAGAGGACATAGGGTCAAATCTTGGCTCTCCTTCTAACTACCCAGGTAGTTAGACCTTAGACAAATTACTCCACCTTTCTGGGCCTCAATTTTTTCAAGGGTAGGATTATAGATTTAGTACTAAAAGGGGTCTTGGTGGTCACTTAGGCCAGTGGACCCTTGATATCCCTGAGATTCTTTGGGGTGGGCAGGGCCTTTGAAATCAAAACTATTTTCATAATAATACTAAGATGTTTAAATTTCTAAAATAGTAAATATACATACACACAACCCACATAAATGAAAATTCTTGGGGGAGGGAGGTTAAGAGTTTCCGAGACCAAAAAGTTTGAGAACTGCTGATCTAATCGAACCCCATCATTTTACAAATCAGTTAGTCAATAAGTATTTATTAGGCACCTATTATGTGCCATGCACTGTATAGGTTGCTAAGTATATAAAGACATAAAAGAAACAGTCCCTGCCCTCAAGAAGCTTGCATTCTATCAGGGGAGATAAAATGTATACACATACCCAATTACATACAAAATGAAAACAAGGTAATTATTTTGAAGGGGAAGCACTAGTAGCTAGAGGAGAAGACCTTCAGAAAAGGATTCTCGTAGCAAGTGCATTTGGGTTGAACTTTGAAGGGCAGTGGGGATTCTAAAAGGGGATGATGAGGAGGGAGTGCACTCCAGGCATGAGGAACAACCAGTGCAAAGGCCCAAAGATGGGAAATGGGTGATCATGTATGAAGAATAGCAAATAAGCCAATAATGCTGGAGTGAAGAATATGTGGAAGGAATAATGTGTAAGATTGGAAAGGTAGGAAGGGAAGCTTTACATGCCCTCAGAATTAGTTTATATTTGCTCTTAGAGGTAATAGGAGTTTATGGAGTAGGGAGTGAAATGGTTAGCTTTGCAATTTGGGAAAATCACTTTGTGGCAGATAGATTGTAGAAGGGAGACATGAGGCAAGGAGGCCAGTCAAGAAGTCATTATAATATAGCCCAGGTGAGAGGGTCCAGAGGAGGCAAGAACCTGAACTGGGGCAGTGGCTGTGTGACAGAAGAGGGCATGGATGCAAGCGGTGATGAAGAAATTGAAATGGCAAAATTTGGCAACTGATTGGATTCACGGTTGGTGAGTGAGATGACAGTAAGGCTGCAAATCTGGGTTAGTGAACAGATAATGGTGCCCTCACCAGTAACAGAGAAGTTTGAAAGAGTAGGTTTGGAGGGAGAGATAAAGTTGTTTTCAACATGCTGCATTTGAGAAGCCTAGGATATAGTTTGAAATATCCAATAGGCAAAATGATGATGTTAGAATGAGGCTCAGGAAAGAGAGCAGCTGGGATTTAGCTGCTTGATGATAATTGAACCGATAAGAACTGACAAGGTCATCAAGTAAGCAAGTGCAGAAAGGAAAGAGAAGAGGGTCTAAGTCAGGGCCTAAGAGGATACACTCATGGATAGTGTTTCTAAAATATCTCTTACCCAGTTCATGAGCAGCAGTGAACGCTGACTGAAGTCCATCATCTTCCACAATGGCACAGCTTCTGGCTGGGTCACACACTGTGCCCACATCAGCCATGCCAAGTGTGTCACATGTAGAGACACCACACAGGTCCTGGGGGAGTACAGAAGATGTGTTAGGAACCAGGAAACCAAGCTCCATAAGGTTGGGCACTCTAGAACAATAGGGGACCTGCTGGAGGCTTAGGGGTATAAGAGGCCTAGATAACAGCATAGAACGCTTTGGGGAAATGGGAAGTTGGTTGGGGCCTCACCTGTCGAGTAAACAGAATGGCTGTATCAAAGTGGTCAGGGTGGCTGTCCTCAGGAATGTTGAGTCCCTGCTGCCAGGTACAGAAGCTGCGCAGGGTCTGAGCAGCACTGGGACCCACCTGAGGCCCTTCCTCACCAGGCCCAAGCACAACCAGCCGGGTTACCACCAGACTGACTGGGTTACGAAGACTTGGGTGGCGGAAAGCCTTGGCGGCAGCTGCCATGACAGTCAGGAGGTATCTCTTCAGCCCAGCCCCATGGAATGCCGCCATCTTGTCATCTGCCACTACCAGGGTCTCCACAAAGCGACTTACTGAGGCAAAGCGCTGGGAGGAAGAGCAAAGCAAAGGAGGGTTTAATCCAGAGACACCAGTGTTTCTTCCCTCCCCCTCACCTCATCCCTACCCCTTTTCCTCTAGGGACTGAAGTTTAGCAGAACTAGATTGGAACCCATATGACCCCACTGTGTTCATGCTCTTATCTTAGTTATCTCCTTCCTCCCTTCTTTGCCCCAACTCCAAGGGGCTCCTGTGGTTACTCAGAGACATCAGCTGTCGGTTTAGGGAAGGGGAGGGGAAGGGGGTGCCACGTCCCCTGCCACGTGGGCCTCAGGGGGAAAGAACAGCTGAGAGTGCCTGAGAGGAGATGTAGGGGGGCTCCCCCTGTTTGTGAGAGGGGCCTGAAAACAATGGAGTAGAAGGTTGAGTTGCAACGTGTCTGTGCTATGTGGTGGTGGGGGAACAAGTCTGTCAGCAGCCAGGGCTGGGGCCAGATATCCGGCAGTGGCTGAGTTTAGAGGGAGCGTCTGGTCTGGATTAGAAGGAGAAAGAGAGGGAGGGAGGGAAGGAGGGAGGGAGAGAAGGAGGGAGGGAAGAGGGTAGTTAGGAAGAAAAGAAGGGAAGAAGGAAAAGAAAGACAGACCAACTGTCTACCAGGGTGGGAAGGGGACAAGCTAAAGAGAGATTATGAATGTCCTTCCAGTTTCTGAAGTGGGGTTTGGACTGAAGGGCCAGTCTCAGATCCATCTTCTTCAGTACAAGTAAAGAAACTGCAAAGTGCTAGGACAGGGATAGAGAGCTGAAGTATGACTGCCTAATCTGAAGGCACTCCATTTGGGACTCCCGGTGCTGGAGAGAGGGGCTCTGAGGGCCAGTTATAGGGAGGTGTGGTTACTTTCCAGCCGTAGTTTCCATGACTGCTGCAAATTCACCAGCTGGACTCAGCCTTCTTCTAGCCAAGAAAGAGTCTGGGGAGGCTTGGACGGGAGACAAGTCAGGAAACTGACATGAAAAGAACACCAAGGGTCCTCACCCAGAGCCTAGCTGGCAAAGTGAATGACTGGTGACCCCTAAGAGAAAGGCGAGTAGAAATAGAAAAGAAAGGAGAGGAGAAAATGGAGCAGGCAGGGGTGGAGGTGGGTGGGGAAAGGATGAATGGAGGTCAGTGGGACAGATATGGTGGAGCGGACGCAGCAGGGACTCTGAAGCTGCCTACCTTGGCTCTTCGAGGGCTGGGGCCTGGGCTCCCGAGTGGGGCCCCAACGTTGCACATGGGGCCCTGGTCTCTGGTAGGGCTCTTTCGGCGTAGGATGTGGGCCCCTTTCCCCCCAGCAGAATTGGGAGCTCCCTCTTCTAGGGGCTGAAGGTGGAGCTCTGTCCCCCGGTACTGTAGGACGCCCAGCAGGGCTCCCCCATCCCAATGCAGAGATGCCACAGACTCAGGGTCCCCGTTGATGGTGCCCGTCAGGTACGTGCCCACTTCAGCCCCACCTAGCATCGAAGGCGCCTGGCCCAGGTACTGCACAGTCAATCCCTCAACCCGGACACCAGGGTCCTGCTCCAGCTCCAGAAGCAGCGTTTCCCCAAAAGCTGGCAGCCGATATAACAGGAGCCCCTGGGAGCCGGGGCCAGGAAAGATGCTGCCATTGAGTCTCTCGGGAAACACGATCTCCTCCTCCTGAGTGGGGAGGCCCACCAGCTGGGCAAGAGACAAGCAGGAGTCTAGTAGCAGCAAAATCAGAAGTAGCAGCCCTGGAAGTGGCTGGGATGGAGTGGGGAGCAGAGGGCTGGTCTGAGCTCCCCCTAAGTCCCTCCTGGGACCTATGTCTGCCTGGGACATGGCACAGCAGCAGTAGCTAGAAGGAAGCAGGGTGTTCAAGGCTCCAATTACTCCCCCTGCCTGGTTCTTGGAGGATCCTCTCAGCAGGAATCCCCTGTGGGTTCTGACCTGTGCCAGAGGAGGATGCAGTGTTGGCACAGGGACCAGGGAGCTTCCAAAGTAATAAAGAAAATACCCGCACAGAGTTGAGAGGTAAGTCTGAGAGCCACCTCCCCAAACACCTCCCCCCTCACTCCGTGGAGTAAGTGACTCCTCTGAGGATTCTCCTGTTGCAGCTTCTTCGTCTCCCTCTGCCCTTCCCTATCTCTGTATGCCTCTGATTCCCTGTGTATCTGTCTCTTTTGTTTCTATGCCTTTTTCTGTCCTCTTTTCCTCTGTTTGACTTTCTGCATTACTTTCTGACTTGTGGATTTCCCTATCTCCCTATACCTCTCTCTGGCTCTTTGTCTCTTTCTGTGTCTGTATCCGTGTCTCTGTCTCTATGTCTCTGTGTCTCCCCAGCCCTCTCCCAGTTGGATTCTCCTTAGCGGGCTCTCCCCGCCAGCGCCTTTAAGTACAGTGAACAGCGGGGATTGGCTGAGCTGGCGGAGCCACTCAGACTTGAGCTTGAGGTCTTTGGTGGGAAGGCAGATGGGGTGTCTCATTACTTCCAAAAATTCAGGTTTTCAAAGGAAATTGGGGGTGGGGTGGGGGGAGGGGAATCCCCAGCAGTCAGATCCCAGGCACTTGGCCAGCTGATGACACAGCTCTTTTCCTAAATTTGACTCCAACTCTCAGCTGTTTCTTTCCTTTTCTGGGAGTTTATCACAGCCCTGGCTGGGGGTGGGGGGAAGTGGAGTTGGGGGATAACACCACCCCCAGCTCTAGTATGAACAAAATAACAGCCAAAGCCGAGAGAAGAATTGCTCTCCCCCCTCCCCCACCTAAATCTCTTATTCCTAACTCTGAAGGGGATGGAGGACTCCCTAAAGATGACCCCTGTTCCCCAGGAGCTGGGTCTCAGAACTGAGGGAGATGAATGAGTGAAGAAAGAGGAACAAAAGAAATAGCTGAGAGAGGAACCCATCAGAAGTCCCAGTGAGTTTAGGGCAAGGAAGTTTTAAGTTTAGGGATGCTGAACGGTCCACCTGGGACAGTGGAGAGGATGAATGGGATGGGAGTGGGGGCGGGGTGGGGAGACGACGAGACAAGGGAGTTCATAATTTGAAGGTAGGGCAATTCTGCTTGGAGCGAGGGTTGGGGATAGAGGGCAGTACGAGAGGAGTTAATGACTTTTCCTTTTGTACAAGGAGGATCCAGCCTGGGCCAGGGCAGGGGTTCCTGTGCCAGAAACCACCTCCTTTCCCTTACCATCCCCCCCTCCCTCAGGCTCCCCTTTCCTTAGCTTCCCTCCTCCTCTCAACACTTACCCGGAACAGCCATTCCGCCTCCGTTGTCCCCCAGGGCTCCCCCTCCTCAATTCACGTCCTCCCCCCTATTTCCTGGCTTCCCCTTTTCTTGGCCCAGCTCCCAGTCAATTCCCCTAGGGCTCCTGGCCCCACTCCTACTCTCTCCCAGAAGCATGGGTCCCTGTCCTACCCTCCCCCAGAGACTTTCTTTCTCATCTTTCTCTCCCTCCTGTGCGCCGCCCCCCCCCCCATCATTCTAGTTTGCCTCTCGCCTAACAGAATTAGTTAGCGTCCATCAGGACCTCAGATATCACAAACTGAGCCCCCAAGAAGATGTGATTTATCTAAGGTCACACAGCTGCTAAGTATCAGAGTAGGGACTCCAACCCAACTTGAGTCTAAGGTGACCCCAAGTCCAATATTCTTTCCATATTGCCTTTCTCAGCCATCCCTCAAGAGGTCTCTATTCTCATATATCCTCAACTCTGTAAGATTCTGCTTCTAACATTTCCTTCCTCCCACCCTCACCCTGGGAACTTATGGCCTCATAATCTTGATTGGCTTCTCCTTTCTTATTCTCCAGGGGATGTCTCCATTGTACATATGGGGAAATTGACACACAGAGAAAGACAGGAACTTTGTGTGTGTAATGTTGGTAGTAAGGGGATGGAGGGCTTGGGGGAGGGTCCAAATACAGGAGAAAGCTACTTCTGACATATGAGCAGGGTCAGGAGTCTGGACTTGGGGCAATTCCTGCTCTCACCCCCACCCTATGGCCACTCCTTTCCCCAGGAAATCCCCAGGAAGGATTGAGTTGCCAACTGATCCCTCCCCCTTCCCAGGAGCAAGACACCCTCTTCCCTCCCATTCATACCCCTAATTCACTCTTCCCAGTCATCTCCTGCTCCTCACCTCACATCCTGACCTGCCATTTCCTTTATCCTTTTCCCCTTCCACCCTAGGGGCCACCAGTACCTGCCCATTATGCCTACCACCTCCTGCACCACCCAGCCCTGCATCACTGCTGAGCCATATTTTCCTCTCTTTACCTAATACACCAAGCCCCGATGATATTGGGAATGTGAGACTCTCTGGGGTAAAAACAGGGGCGAGGAAGGAGCCTGGGTTGGGACAAGGCTAGGGTCTAAGGCTGGAGCAAGAGGAGCTATCCCCAGAGGGCTCCCCCACCCCCACCCCTTTAACACAAGAGGAGGACAAAGGGGGTGACAAAGCAGCTGAAGACAAAGGGCCTCAGAGTGGCAAGAGGGGCGGGTGGTGGCAGCCTGGGTAGGGCACAAAAGATTCAGTGTCCTGGGCAGCCCCCCTAGGAACCCTGCCCCCGCCTGAGCTCAATCCATCCTCAAGGGCTAGTAAGAACAGATGCTAACCCCCATCTCTCCTGAGCCTAGCAAGGGCAAGAGACAGAACAATCTCTTTATTTGTAACTTTCCTCCACTCCCCATACTCTTTCTCTTCACTGTGCCCATCCCTCCTATTTCAGAGAGTAAAGTTTCCTCTGGAAGGTGTTGGGGTCTCAGAGATGGACTCTGTGCTACAGAGATCATGGCAGCTCATCTCTCCTCACTCTTGCTCTGTGGGAGCCATCCCTCCCAGCTCTGATCCAAGCCTAGGCTATTTCCCATAGCCACAGGCTCTGGCCCCACCCTTTGGAACATTTCCTATTAGGTCAGTTCCCAGGCAATAGTAGTCTGGCCTCTCCCTTGCGTCCACCCTTTCCCCCCACTCACACCATTCTGGAACTTGGTAGCTACCTGACAATACTTTGACCCCCTACATTGAGCCATTACCTCCCACATGTCCCTTTAGGCTCACTACTGCCTTGGTTTCTCCCCACTTCCCACCCCAAGTCTTCTGCAGTGCTGGTGGGCTATGTCCCAGGGTCCCTGTCTGAGTAAACCTCATCTTTCCACTCTCACACTCACATGGTGGCTGGGGATGGAGTTCCAGACTTAAGGGGTGGCCCGGCTCTAGCTGGGGGACTTGGAGGACCAGGGCTAGGGTGTGGCCTCCAAGGGTGGTTAGGAAGGATATTCCTCTTTTTCTTCAGAACCAGGATCAGGATTAGAATCCTGACTACTTCCCAGCACTGTGCCAGCAGAGGTGAGGTTGTGGGGCACCAGCAACGCCAGAAGCACAAGAAGAACAAGAAAGGGCCTGGGCTAGGAGAGAAAATGGTGGAAGTGGAGGGACAGTGACCAGACCCTGGGTCAATTAGAAGGATGTCTACCCCTCCCTCAGCCTCTCCCTTCCCATGCTGGGTGTAGCTGCTGTCTCAGCCCCAGGTTCCCCCTTTCCTCCCAATGCTGGTGGCCTTGGCTCACATTTCTGTTTTGATTTGTATTTGGCGGGAGCCCCCAGCCCCTCCCCATTTGGGTTCCCCTATCCCTATTCAGAACATCTGGGAGTTGGGTTGGGGAGGGAACTTCCCAGGCTCCTGCTGCCTCCGACCCTGCGATGGGGGAAGGGATGGGGAGTGCCTAGGGCTCCCCCGAATGGGGCCCAGATGTGCAAGGGCTCAGCCACATTTGGGCAGCAGGCCCTCAGCAGGGAAAGCAGCCAGATGGAGAAGAGCCTGGGTGGGGGAAGCTTCTGACAACAGTCCGACATGGGGCTCCGCCTCCCCAGCAGCTGTGGCCTAGAAGCCGAGGAGGGTTCTTCCAGCATCCGCGTCTATACTGGACTATGGTACCTATATGCTAAAGATGCTCCCCCTCCCCCCTTCATTGGCTTGATTTATAGAGATAGAGCACTCGCTCGAACACTAGGGGGCGTATTTCAGCAGAACCAAGACTCTTGCCCACAGTTAAAATGGAAGGTGCTCGTAGCGGACTCAAGCAATGAAGCCAAGCCTCGGGACCCGGATGTTGCCAGGCCACTCGCTGAAGCTTTTGCCAGCTTTCAAGATGGCGTCCCCACCGTATCCAGCCGTAACAAGAAGCTACGGGAGTGACGCGTAGCGTCTGCTTCCGCCCGATTCTCCTTCCCACGGGCCTGCAGGGGCAGCAAGATGGCGACGTTGAGGGCTCTGGGGAAGCTCCGGAGCCTTGTGGCCCCGGTGCTGCGGCCCGACTCTGGGGTTCGGCTGACGCTTCAGCCCAGCAGGTGAGGAGGAGGCGGGAAGCCTTGGTCCTGCTCCCCCGCCCCCAACCCCCGGAGGCCGGGGACATTACCTAAGCCCTTTGACCCCCGAACAGAGTGAGTGACCCAGGCTTGTGACCTCGTCTGTCCCCGCTCCTCCCCCCAGTCTCCCATAAGCCTCTGGGCTGGGTGATTTCCCCCAATTTTAGGGTGGTGGTAAAGGGGTGGCCTGCGTGGACTCCCTCGTTCCTTGCCCCCTTTTTTCTGTGGACTTGAGATCCCCCCGCCCCCCAAATCTCCCACGGGCAGGCCGGGGCAGCAGCATCATCGTTATCTCCGCCTTAACACAGCGAAGGCAGGGACAGGGTCTTCCTTCACCCTAGGCCGGGATGCGCCCCCTGTTCAGTCGGGAGGCAGGGTCTGCCCTCGGCCCGATCCCCTGAGTGACCTTGGACAGCTTGTCTAGGAGGAGCAGAACTGGGCACTCTTTGACCTTCACTGGCCAAGGAATCATGCATGAGCTGTCTGTAGAAATGAGTTATTAATCAGCATCAAATGAGTCTACATAATTAGTAAGGCCTTTACAAACCTCTGAGTACTAGGTTATTATTATTATTGTTATTAGAAAGAGGCCATACTGATCCCTTGTCATTGACTTGGGTGGAAGATAGGGAAAAGGTAAAAAATACCCTTCCCCTGCAAACAATGAGATCTGGTCCATCCCTCAGCAGGCTCATTCAGTTCAATTCTGCAAACACTTATGAATAATCGATGTGCAAGGCACTGAGGATACAAAATGACAGAGAAAAAAAAATGAAGCAGTCCCTACCCTCAGAGAGCATAGAGTTTGACCCTTTGTCCCTGCTGACCTGCTTTCTGATCCCTAGAGGTGCTCGGCAGTGGCAGCCAGATGTGGAATGGGCAGAACAGTTTGGGGGGGCTGTCATGTACCCAAATAAAGAAACCGCCCTCTGGAAGCCTGCACCCTGGAATGGTGAGTCTGAGGATCCATATGCCCCTAGTTCCGCCAACTTTGTCACTCACCCAGAGCTGCTTCCCTTGTGTTTCTGCCTCAGTTGATATATCATTAGTGTTGAGTTAGTGTCATTTGAGCTATCCAGTCCTTCTCTGAAGCATGTTTCAGCCCCTCCTTCTTTATTCCCTCTCAGCGATTTTGTCAGTTTCCGTAGTGTCAACTAGCTCCCTTTTGTTGTTTGAATGCCTTTTAAAACTTTATCTTTAATAATAACCTCCCTCTTGAGCTCTAGTCATGCAAGTCCAGCTGCCTGCTTGATACTTCTAATCGTATGTCACACTGTCATCAGATTCAGTTTATTTTCATCCTTCCGACACTGGCATGCTTCCTGTTTTTTCTTCTTTCTGTTAGTAGTTCAGTCCTTCTAATCCCTCAGGTTCAAAACTTTGAGCCTTCTCTTCCCATGTCCAGTAAATTATTAAGTCCCCCTACCTCACATCTCGCTTTCCTACTTCCTACCAGCCTAATTTAGGCTTTTATCACATCATGTTTGTATTATTGCAGTAGCCTCCTAACTGGCCTAGTTGCCTTAAGTCTGTCTTCCCTTGAACCTGTCTTATTCATTGCTACTACATTGATCTTCTGAAAATACCATCTTCACTGTGTCACTACTACTCAAAAACCTTGAGAGGTTCACCATTGTCCACACGACAGAGTCTGGCCTCTCATTCATAGCCCTTCACAAACTGGGTCCAACCTACCTTTCTAACTTAATCTTCCACCATTTCCCAGCATGATTTCTGTTCTAGCCAAGCTGCCGTGTTCATTGTACTCCAAACCACCCTTCACGTTTTTATCTCCATGACATGGTATGTTCAGATTCTGTCTGTCCCTGATGTCCTTGCCTTTCCTCTGCCAAGTACCCTATCTAAAGCTTTCCCAACTTTCAAACCCAGTTAAAAATTTTTCTGTTCAATGAAGCCTCCTTTGATGCTTCAGCCCACAGTGACCTCTCCCTCATTTGATTTCCTTTAGCATTTATTTGTCACTTAAATATTTCCTTGTGTTACTCATTTTCATGGTAATATTTCTGATACCTCTAATTAGATTGTAAAATTTGATCAGGTATCATGTATTCAACATTGCCTTAGACTCGATGAGGAATTAGGAAAAGTAAGATTTGGGGTCCCTGCCCTCAAGGAACCCAGACAGTGTTTCACACTTCTCCTTTCCTTTGACCCTTAAGCGTTTTAAGAGTATAAAAGGAGGAAGGCAGTAAAATTGGCATGCTAAGGGGTTAATATGGGATAGGACCTCTTGATATTAAGGTTAATATCCCTTTTAATCCTTGGGAGAATCCCAGAGTAGTCACCATCTATCCCTAAGCCTCCTCTTCTTCCTCTTCCCCCCACCCTCAGATGTGGATCCTCCAAAAGACACAAAGGTGGCCAACGTGACCCTAAACTTTGGGCCCCAGCACCCAGCAGCTCATGGAGTCCTTCGGCTAGTAATGGAACTAAGTGGAGAAATGGTGCGGAAGTGTGATCCCCACATTGGCTTGCTTCACCGGGGCACTGAAAAGCTGATTGAATACAAGACTTACTTGCAGGTGTGGGGAATGAATAAGAGATGGAGATGTGGGGTATCTAAGCTTTGTGATTTGTCATTTTGACCACTCCCAGGACTCTAGGTCCCATGGAAGTTATGGGGGCAGTGGGGAAGCATGATGGCAATCCTTCGCACCTTTTACATGTTAAGGCAGTCCTGGGACAGATGAGAAGAGTTAGGGAAAAGCTGTGGGTTAATGGAAAGCAATGCCATGGTTGATGGGGCTTGCATTCAGCAGTAGAAGCCATGTCTCCTAGCTTCTGTTCCTAAGTCTCCCATCGTTTTCTTGATCAACTTTTGGCTGCCCCTCTTTACCTTGTGCCTCAGTTTCTCTGATGTCATGTCAAATCCAGCCAGTGCGTCACAGATTGTTTCCCAGGACAGGGGACAAAGTGAAAGACGTCATCTTTTTTTGTTTGGACGTCCCTTTATCTTCCAGCTGCCTGTGTTTCCTTTTGAAATGTTCAGTGAGTCAGAATGACTGGGATAGAGAGGTTATGGCTGCTACTGGTTTGTGGGATGGAGGAGGGGCTGAGTGGGAACTATGACAACAAAGTGGTGAGAATCAGGATTGCAGCATTGTTGGGGTTTGTGTTTGAGGCAGGATTCAGTAGTTATTTATTTATTTATTTATTTATTTATTTATAGCCTATGTGAAGGGAGAGGGGAAAGAGTCCTAAAGTGAAAGGTTGTGAAACTGAAACTTAGAGGCCAAGTAAAGGAGTCAAGCATAGTGACTGTGAGATTCCCCAGGAGATCTGAGAATGATGGTTTCTGGCCCTCGTGTCCAAGGAATTAAAAACTCGTCAGCCTTGCTCCACGTCACAGTGATGGCCAAGAAAGAACGGACTGTCCTGATGGAATCAGCCCAAGCCCCACCTCTTTCCTGGAAGCTACAGCTTGGACAGCGGAGGCCTAGCGTGAACCCGATGAGAACCTTATGCAGAGGGCTACTCTAATCAAGAACAAATCCTGCCCTTCTCAGTTCTGAAGGGCCCTATTCCCTTTAGACCCTTATCCTTGACAATTCCTGTGACCCTTCTTCCCAGTCCCACTTCCAGCTTCTTTCATTCCTTTTCTTCTGTTAGATTTGGGGAAGAAATGATGACTTGGAAGTTTAAGATGTCATGCGGTTGTCTCCTTGTCTGGGATGCTATTGGAATATCTTAAATTTTACTAGGAGGCCAAGGGCTTGGCACACAAGCATGGTCCTGGCTCCTGGAGCCAGTTCAGACGAACGTTTGCCCCAGTCAGACAGGAGATCTGTACTGGGTACGAGACGTGGCAAGCTTTCTCTTAGTGTCTGTCTTCTTTCTGTAGGCCCTTCCATACTTTGACCGACTGGATTATGTGTCCATGATGTGTAATGAGCAGTGCTATTCCTTGGCTGTAGAGAAGCTACTTAATATCCAGCCTCCCCCCCGGGCACAGTGGATCCGAGGTATGTCTCAGTCTCCTTGGTGCCCACTCTAGGGGTGATATATCTGAGTCTCGTTCCCCTACCTGTCCTGGAGAGCAGTGAATAGAAGAGGCACTCGAGCCCTTCCTTTTTGATGTTCATTGTTCTTGAGCATCCCATACTGGATGGAGTAGGTCCGGTTGGCTTTTCTGAGATAGTTCTGACTCCCTCGTTCTCAGATATTTTTCTGCTCCCTCTTCCCTCCCTCTCCATAGTGCTATTTGCAGAGATCACACGGCTGCTGAACCATATTATGGCGCTGACCACACATGCCCTGGACGTTGGGGCCATGACTCCCTTCTTCTGGATGTTTGAAGAAAGGGAGAAGGTATGAGTGGGCACAGAGATTAGAGGTGGTTTGAAGAAAAGTACCGAAAAGGGATATTGAAGGGCTCTGGGTATGAGGTTGGGAAACATAGCTGACATACAGAGTAATGGCCAGGGGACCAGCTTCTTGGAAGTTATCTTGATTATTTTTTTAGTGTTGGAATGCTACAGGTGGTGATACAAAGAGTGTTCTGTGGTATTCTTGGGTGGCCAAGGGCTTTATCTCTGATTTTCAATGTGTCCCATCTAGATGTTTGAGTTTTATGAACGAGTATCAGGGGCACGAATGCATGCAGCATACATCCGTCCAGGAGGGGTGCACCAGGTAAGAAGAGCCCCTTCCGCAGTTCCTGCCATCCTCCCATCCCTTCATTCCTCACCTCTGTTCTCTCTGGCTACAGTATTTTAGGATTCCCTGACTGGGGAAAATGGGAAGTTAGATGTAGCTTTAATATTCCATAGCGTTAGGGATAGAGAACTTTGGGACTTTCTCTGATGGGCCAATGTCCCTTTCTCTAAATTGTCTCCACCTGGCTCCTCAGGACCTGCCCCTTGGGCTCATGGATGACATTTATGAATTTGCCAAGAACTTCTCCATTCGGATTGATGAGCTTGAAGAAGTAAGATAAAGGGGAATGAGGAAACCTGCCTGGGCACTCCCAGGAATTACTCAAGGTGGAATGGGGAGGTACTAGCCTTTGGGTCTAAAAAAATGAGAGCTTCCCTAGTATGAGGTGATACATTGACACTTCTTCCCTTGGGGTGGCAGATGCTGACCAACAATCGAATTTGGCGAAATCGAACAGTTGACATTGGAGTGGTAACTGCAGAAGAGGCCCTTAACTATGGCTTCAGGTCAGTAGCTGGGCAAGGCAGAGCAGCGATGAGTACCCTTGGGCAAGGCCCATATTATACCCAGTGAAGAAACTGGTCTTTTTGGGTGGGAGACCAGTCCGTCTCGCTGCTCTTGGCAGTTGTGGTATTGTCCCTCTTCTGGCTGCCCTTCTGCTTGGACTTGAATCTGCACAGAGGGGGTGTGAAAGAGAGCAATGACATCTTTGTTGATTGTTGAATGTAACCTCCTCTCTCTCTACCTTTCCTCTAATAGTGGGGTGATGCTTCGAGGCTCCGGGATTCAGTGGGACCTGCGGAAGACTCAGCCTTATGACGCATATGACCAAGTAGAGTTTGATGTCCCCATTGGTTCCAATGGCGATTGCTATGACAGGTAGGACAGAGCCACCTTCCCACTCCTATCCTTCCCTCATCTGCACCTACAGTGACTGCTATTTGTGTAGAATGTTTTACTCACTGAAGTGCTTTTACATAGACATTCTCATTTAACTCAGAGGATCTTGGATTTCATCGGGGGAGGAATCTTGGCATGGTAGCTGTGTCTACCTGCGCAACTCATAAACTGTCCCTGGCTGAGATAAATGCTGGAGTGTTGCTTAAGGTACATAGAAGTCATGACTTGCCTGGAGTCAGTCAGTAGGTGGCAGAGTTTGGAGTTGAACCCAGGTCTGACTTCAAGCCTAGCACTCTATTCACCATATCATACTTCCTTCTTTATCATTTTACCTTCTACCTTTGAAGCGCTGGTGGAATTTTATTTTATATTTGAGAAAACTAATGAATAGATTTGGTTGCTTTTGTCAAGATTATGTTAATGGTAATGAAGCAAGGACAAGAGTCTAGTTCTTCTTACTCTGAGCCCACAGATCTTTAGTTTCCAGAGTGCTCTCATGTGCATATTCATTTTCTGAGAGGTAGTCAGGGTAAGTCTTCATTTTACAAATGAGGAAATAGACCCAGAGAAGTTGTGGCTTCCCTGGAGCTGACAAAGTTAGAGTGGTCCATGTTATAGAACCCACTTCTGCTGTCTCTTAGTTCCATCTTTTTCCTCCTCAGTCATACAGCACCATTCGATTGCCACTGCCTTTCTCCATCCTAGGAAGGACCAGTGGGCAGAGCACTGGCTGGAGAATCAGGAAGGTCTTGGGTCCATGTCCAGTCACCCAGCCTTCTGCCCTGTTTTATCATCTGCTCAAATGGAGGGGTTTGCTCTCTTAGTACCCCCTGAGAGGGTCATTGGGTGGCTCCAGGGAGATTCAGCAAGCTTTAGTGAGCCGGTCCTGCCTCCAGGGATCTTACATTCCTTTGACACAATATAGATAATTCATCTGTAGGCAGTGAATAGAATACTGAACTTGGAGTCCAGAGGGCCTGAGTGTGAATCTGCCCTCAGACAGTTAGTAACTGCAGGTCCAGGCCACGACACTTAACCTCCCCTTGCCTCAGTTTCCTCATCTATAAAATAGGCTTAATAGCAGCACCTACCTCGATGAGTAGTTGTGTGAGGATCACATGAGATAATACATGTAAAGCCCTTTGCGAACCATAAAGTACTATGTAAATGTTGTCCTCTTGAAGAGGGCCATGACATTGGGAAGGTGGTATCATGACTTGCAAGTGAATTGGATTTAAGTGAGGCAGGACTGTACAAAATCACCAACCTCACTCTCTCCTCTGGAGCCATCTGGGTCCAGTGACCAGACATCGATCAGACTGACTGGAGATGGCCCCAATATAAGTGTCAGTTATTTGGTGGAGTGGGAGGAACAGCTTCCCTAGGGCATAACCAAAAGAAACAGAGAGAACTCAGGTGGGAGGGGTCTTACAGGGTTGTTGGAATATGCTTCAGGCTCAGGTGAGGCAGAGATATCAGAGGTAGAGAGGTCTGATATAGGGAACTTAGAGTAGCCAGTGGGTGCAGTTTAGCAGGTTTTGCCCTGCTAGACCTGGGCAGGGCAGGACCCTAACTAATCTCTGACCTTCCTTGTCTCTCTGTTTGACCATCTTCTAGGTACCTGTGTCGGGTAGAAGAGATGCGTCAGGCTCTCCGGATCATTCTGCAGTGTCTTAACAAGATGCCTCCTGGGGAGATCAAAGTTGATGATGCCAAAGTGTCTCCACCAAAGCGGGCAGAGATGAAGGTTGGAGATAGGGAATGGTCTAGGAGAGGAACTGAGGATGGAGAAAGAATAGAAAGGGGGAAGGTGATCAGAGCTGAGCTTCAGTCCCTGAAAGGATTATCTTCGTGAGGCTAACACACTTTGGTCCTCTTTTCTTTGTTTATATCTCATCTGTAAACTTTATTATCTATATTTACACTTGAATTTTATTTTATGTGGGGATTGATTATCCTGTCGGTTTCTTGCTTTCAGTTGGTCCTAAGCATAGGTCTCTCTCCCCATAGAGTGTACTCAGGTCTTTGATTATGACTGACTGAGTTTTTCACTGCCCTTTCTTCTTCCTTCTCTAGACATCCATGGAGTCACTAATCCATCACTTCAAGCTCTATACTGAGGGCTACCAAGTTCCACCGGGTGCTACATACACTGCTGTCGAGGCACCAAAGGTGAGGAATTACCACAGTGGGAAAAGACATAGTGATGTGCACCTAGTAGGCATCTGATGGATGAATGTTGATTATATTGGAAAAGAAACATGAGAATTGACAAGAGAAATAGGAAATAGTCAGGAATTGGCTTCCTTTTCGGGGAATCAGGGAATCGGGGAATCATCTCCCTTGCACCTTCTTGCACAGGGAGAGTTTGGAGTATACCTGGTTTCTGATGGCAGCAGCCGCCCCTATCGATGCAAGATCAAAGCACCTGGCTTTGCGCACTTGGTGAGAACAACAAACCCCAGTTATTCCCAAATCCCAGGGCCTGTAAGGACTGACTCCCTACAAACCCTCAGTGCTCTTTTTCTCCTTCCTCTGTTCCACCCCCAGTATTGATCATCTGGTGTTCTTTTGCTTTCTCACATCCCCAGGCTGGTTTGGACAAGATGTCTAAGGGGCACATGCTGGCGGATGTGGTGGCAATCATAGGTATGAGTGCCTTTGGGTGGATGGGTACAATGTCCTGCATGGGTTGAGGACTGAGATCAAGCATAGGGAATGGAAACGTACGGCCCCTGCAGACACTAGTTTCTTTCTTCTACCCTATAGGTACCCAGGACATCGTGTTTGGAGAGGTAGATCGGTGAGCCAGAGAATAGCAACTTGTCTCTGCTATCTCCTCACTGATTACTATCTCCTGAGGGAAGTGGGAGGGAAAGACAGGCTGTGTGTGTGTGTGTGTGTGAGAGTGTGAGAGAGAGAGTGGGGGTGTGGGGCACACGCATGCACTCACTGAGTGGTCTGTGCTTCTGTTAAGAAAAAGGAAATAATAATAAATTAGCCGCTCTGCGGTCCCTGTGTCCAGCTTTCTTTTCTTTCCTTCTGTCCATCCTTCCCATTACTTTACTTTGCCTATGAAATGTATGTGGGTTTTTCCAGGATCTCGGGTAAGAAGGACAGAGGGAGGGGCAGCTTAAACCCCCCTCACCTCCCCGTCACCAGACGCAGATCTCTGGAGATCTTGTACCACCCTTGCCACTCCCACATGCTCTTTCCACTTCTCCTTTCCCTGTTTCCTTTGTTCTTCCCCTTTTCTCCCCTCAGTTTCCCCTGTCCTTGCAGAGCTGCTTTGGCCTCATGCTGTTAATTCCTGTTCTAACCCCTCCATACCCTAAACCTTGGGTAGAGGCAGGAAACCGCAGGGAGAAAGAATGTGGTAGACACTTGGGGATCGCCTCCAACCCAAAGGCTGTGTCCCTGTCCTGTCCAGTACAGAATTCCTCTCGGCTGTGCTGGAGTAGCCAGTGGAAGCTGGGTCCAGCCTTTTCTCCATGCTTGAGGGGGCTCTTCTCTTGGGATTAAAGGGTTTTGGTTCTTTAAGATCTTAGGTCTGCAAATGGACCACACTCAGGCATCCCTTCTGTCTGATTTGGCCCTTCCGGGAGCTGCCCAGCCTATACTGCAGGAAGGGGAAGGGGCCGAAGCTGGTGGGGAAGGCGGGGCAGGAAGGGGGGAAACTGTGGTCAGGGAGTTGCTGAACACAACTGTGAGGAGCCAGCTAACCCACTGAGCGTCCGGATCTCAGCCTCTGGTCCCTGAACCCCTGCCTGAGCGTCCGGATCTCAGCCTCTGGGCCCTGAACCCCTGCCCGAGATGATCCGAGTGGTGGTCTTGCTGTTGGTGCTTCTGATTCAAGAAGCCGGTGAGTTGCATATGGGGAGTGGTGAGGGAAAAGGATGTGGGCTTTCGAAGCCCACGGAAAACAGAGGGCATAGTGGCGTAGGACGGAGGACGAGCTAGTGGACATGAGCTTCACAGAGGAATACCTGTGCCTCTAATGTAGGGTTTTTGATTCTACCTTGCTCTAGTCTCTTCTGTCCCATATCAGATCCTTATATGTGATTCCTGTGACAGACAGCTCTATATATCAGGCTCTTCTTCCTCTCCCCTCCCTTTTCAGTCTCATTCTTCCCTCCCTCTGGGTTTCACGAGACTAAAAAGGGACCAGGAGTAATGGTGCCCCTCTATGCCACCCTGCCTTCTTCGCTTCTGTCTTAAGGTCCAGCAGGAGGTGACTAGCCAGTCCGGCGTCTGTGATGGGGAATTACTGGTGTAGTTAGGGAGCCATGAGGGTCTCTGGCCTTATACTTGGCATAGAGACAAGGGGTTGAGAGTAAAAAGTGATTCTTACCTCCTGTTACCTGACTGGTTCACATGTCAGTATGGTGAAAACTGTAGGGTAAGGCTGGGAGACAGAGTCAAGGATCCATTCCCTCTTGTTGAAGGCTCTTCAGCGTTAGTGGGAACGCTAGGGTGGGGCGTACTTTTAGCAAGATCTCTTGAGACTCTCCCAGCTCAGGGACCTTGAAGGTCCTTTGTAATGTCTTAACCATCATTGAGATGTCTATGCTGGGAAATATTAGGGGGATAGTGGTGGGCAGGGCAGGGGGTAGAGAATTATAGGCAAGTGGACCCAATAGCTTCTGCTTGGATGAGGAAACCAGAAAGCCTAGATGTCCTCGATGATGACTTTTTTTTTTTATCCTGAGGAGAGTCGAGAATGATGGGAGCAGGAAGGAAGAAACTCAGACCACTACTGTAGCCTAGTTTGTGTCAGCAGGTAGTTGTCCAGAAATCTGGCCTAGCTTTCCCTCTCTGAGCGGTCAGTGGAGGCTAGAGCAACTGGGGAAATGGAAGTTTAGCTGTGGTACCTTCCATGGCTTTGTAAACTAACATAACTGTATAACTGAGCTGCTGAGAATATTGTGACATAGAAGATAAGAGTATTGCACATGGAAGTCAGGAAGACAGGTTCACATCTTGAGGGCAAGTCACTTAAATTCTCAACCTGCTTCCTCTTCTGTAAAATGAGCGTAACATGAGAACTATGGTACTTACCTTACAGGCTGGTTTTGAGGTTCAAACCAGATAGTGTATATATGTTGCAATCTTTAAGATACTCCTTATTACAATTACACATTTCTCTGGGTCCTGGCTCTATCACTCACCCCATGTTCCTTCCATTCTAGTATTGAGAGATTTGGGGAGCCCCAGGGATTAAAAAACCAGGAAATTGTTTTTTTGTTCCCAGTTGTGATCCTATTTAGAGGGAAGTGATGGGGCCAAGGCTAAGAGATGAACAATAATAGACAAATTGCTCCCTCCTTAGCCCCAATATACATATCCTTCCTGTCCAGCCACATCAGCCACAGGTCACAGGACTTAGTAAGAAACACTCCTGTGGTTTCTAAGCTGAAGTTGTCACTGCTACTCTCTTGCCCTACCCTTCTGAGCTGAGGTTTTGAGTCTCAGCCGAGTGAACGCTAATGAGTCCCTTGGGGAGAATTGTGCTCAATGATGCCTTAGAATTTCCCCATTTGTAAGAAGGAAAAGATCCAGGGGAAAGCCTGGGGATTTAGGATGGAACTTTAGTTCCCCCCTCCCTCTATAAATTACTTATGTTATCAAATTTGACAGAAATGGTTTTAGGCTTATTTTTCCCCCCAGTGGGTAAAGAGAAAATAAATTTAGAAAGTAAAATGGCTATAAAATACTGATAACAGCCCACAAGCAGGAGGCAGAGAGATTAAGTATTTCCAAAGCCATAACTGAGGTTCCCAAACTATCCAACCTGGTAATCAAGTAATAGGCATTTATTAAAGACCTCTATCTGCTAAGTACTGTGTATAAAATGAAACCATCTCTGTCCTCAGTCGCTTACATTCTGTCAGAGGATACATATACATGTATTATTTGCAAAATTTGCCAGGTAGGTTTTGGGGGGAGGACCCTAGCATCTGTGGGGGTAAGGGAGAGTTGGGAATCAGGAAAGGCTTCATGTAGGTGGCCTCATTTGAGACAAGTCTTGAAGGAAAACCAGGGATTCCAAGAAGTGGAAGTGATGACTGCGTTCCTGGCAATGGGGACAGCCAATGCCAAGGCATGGGGAGGGAAGGTGGACTAGTCATGCAGAGTATGTGAAGGGGAATAATGTGTAAGAAGGCTGGAAACGGGTTGGAGACAGATTGTGAAAGGCTTTAAATAGCAAACAGAGGAATTAAAATTTGATCCTAGATATAATTAGGAGCCTCTGGAATGTATTGAGATGGGGAGTGATATGGTCAGTCCATGCTTTAGGAAAGTCTGTTTGGTGGCTGTGTGGAGGATAGCTTGGAGTGGGGAGATCTAAAACAGGGAGCACAGTTAGGGAAGCCATTATAATAGTTGAGGTAATAAGGGCCTAAATTGTGTTAGAAGAAGGGGATGAGAAATGTGTTGGTGGTAGACACAAGATTGACAGTAACTGGGTATTTGGAGTGAGAGAGTGAAGAGTCAAAAATGATGCTGAGGATGTGCATGCAGATGACTGGAAGGATAGTAGTGCCCTTAACAGAAATAGAAAAAGGGGTAGTTTGTGGGAAAAGGTAAGTTCAGCTTTAGGTGTGTTAAGTTTGAGATACCTAAAGGACATCCAGTTTGAAATGTTTAATAAGCAGTTTGCAATGTGGGCTTGAAGCTCAGGAAACACACCAGAACTGGATAAATGGAAATGCTCTCTTTATTTGGAGTTTAAGTTCAGAGTAAAAGACAATTTTTAAAAATTGGCATGATTCAGAAGCAGCTTGTGTCAGTGGGTTAGAGGCCAGCTTTGGCATATCCTAGCTTTGTGACCACAGGCAAGTCAACTTCTTAGTGATCCAGGAAACTCCCTTAAGCCCATATGTTACAGAGGAATTGCTGACTTACGTTGGTGGGAAAAGTTTTCCACATTGATAAAATCACAGGTCCTAACAAAAATAAAACAAAATCCCTACTCTATCTACCTTGAAATATAATTCAAAGCTCCATATAAATATATGAAAGCAAAGTATCTTAACAATGATAAATAATATGACAATGCAGTATACACAGAATTTTAATGTATACATTGATATAGTCATAGAATTTGAGATTTGGGAGGGATTTTAATGGTCCATCTGGTCCATCTCACCCCCAAAAGAAACCTCAATTATGCAGTACCCTCCAAGCCTCTGCTGGAAAACCATCAAGGAGGGGGAACCCCTCACTTCTTGAGAAAGATAATTCCATTTTTGCGCAACTCTAATTGTTAAGTGTTTCCTCACATCAAGCCTAAATTAGCTTCTTTGTAACTTAGACCCATTGCTCTTGCCTCTGCCTTCCCTAATTAAGCTTAGTCCTTTTTCTACACAGCAGCTCTTCAAATTCTTGAAGACATCTATCGTGTTGCCCCTGAGTCTTCTCTCAAGGTTAACATGTCCAGTTCTTTCATTAGATGTCATATACTGAAGGTTGTTTGCGGCTACCTTCTGGACCCTCTCTGGTGCTCATAACTGAACACAATACTTCATATGAAGTCTGATGAAGATAGAGCACAGTGAAACAATCACAGTCCTCTTTCTGGAAGAGGAACCTGGAAGTTCCTCAATTGCAGCACAATATCACATTGGCTTTTTTTTGACTGCCCCATCCCACTACTGATTCAAATTAAATTGTAGTCCACTAAAACCCCCAGATCTCAGGTCTTCCCCCGTCTTGTACTTGTGAAATTGATTTTTTTTGTGCCCAAATTGCAAAACATTTATCCCTATTCAATTTCATCTTGTTAAATCCAGCCCAATGCTTGAGCCTACCAAGAGCCTACCTTGAATTGGATACCAACTCTGAATTGGCCAGTGTGTTAGCTCTCCCTCCCAGGTTTACGTCACCTGCAAATTGATGAACCATCTATGCCGTTATCCACAAAATTAATTAAACAGCACAACACCAAACATGAAGCCCTGGGGACCACCACTGGATACCCCTTATAATGTGGATGTGGAATAATTAATAGGCACATTTT